TTCAGCATTAAAGCAAGAGAATGCAGATATGAAGACTTACATTGATGGTTTAGTTGCTCGAGTGCTTGTCCGATGTCCTGATGCTCTGGCTGCTGGTGATGACCTAAAGCCATTGCAACCTCGCAGCTAATTGTAGGGTTGTAGATTTATCTTACTGGATCCTCACACACATAAACCTGTCCATTTGGCTATAAACGCTGCTAGGGCACTGTTCTCCTAAAGTCTGTATCAGTTTGTTGTTCCTTGGTATAAACATTTTTTTTTAAATCTAGCATCAAGATCTCTTCATATTTAGTTAGGATCTTTATTGTCCATAAAGAAGATTTTTACTAAATAAAAACTCAGTTTAGAATAAATCAGATGTTTAATTTCATAATGTAAATTGATAGAGACATTGAAAGGATTTGCACTTTGAAAAATAAAGGATGGAAATATATATATTTATTTATTTATATACATACTTAAAAGACCCAACATGTTAAATTGTTTAACTTCATCTTACAAAGGTTGTGATAATAGCTAGCAACATCATCTTAATAGAATAATTTTGTAATATTGCTTTTCTTAAAGCAGTTTGTATATATTTAACTATAAATTTCATTCTAATCAATGCCCACTTTAATAACTTTTACCAAATAGTTTTTAATTCTATCATCTCAAAATTAATTTTTGTACACACTGTATCCTATTCAGCTGCCTAAATTGTCAATGTTAAAATTGTTATCCAAGATACATATTTCACTTAGCAGCTAAAAAATATTTAGTCTTTTGATATTGCTGATTTGTTAAAATATCTCTATAGCGATTATTGGCTTTTTGTGATCCTTTAGTTTCTCATTATTGGCATCTGGTCAGTTTGTTTTGTCAAATTTATGCCAGTATATTTATCTTAAAACTTTTCTTGGTTTTTGAAGTACTTTATTTATTAAAATATTTTAAGTCGTCTTCAGGAAAGGGACACCTGGAAGTTCATTTATATTTAGTCATTTGCTAGAGTATATACCACTTAGTTTCCCTTTATTCAAATTATATCCCATTATTTTAGCTAGCAAATTCAACTGACAGCTGTAAGGAATCCCAACTGATAAATCATAACTAAAAATCATAACTAAACGAGGATGACCCTTTCCCAAGTGGTGCATCATAAATATGCTCTCAAAAAGAATACTCTTCGCTTTATTTATACTGTTTAAAGCTCTAAAAAAAATTGTGTATATATGAATTCATGTCATTTTTATATATATATTTGTAAGTTGATCTGTTTGACCACTGAGTATCCCAATTAACAGCTCTCAGCAAACTGTCATAACCTCATATAATAATTCATTTTTTGTTTTGTTTCATTGGTTAAAGCTGGCTTTATTTGTTTCATACCTTCCCTTTCAACAAATATGGAAATTGCATGTCTGTGTGTTACTCTTTCCAGCGTCAATTCTGTAGAAGATTATATGAGATGTTTTTTATGTACATAATCATGCAGTTTAATATTTATATATTATTTATTGAAAATGTTTATTCATCATGCAAATAAATGTAATAAAATTGGGGAAAAGGGGGGTGGGGTTATGGTAACAATGCTTTATGTGCTAGTTTTGCTATTTAAATCAGATCATATATACAACATGTATAAATACTATTGACTCTAAAAATACAATAGGCAACAAAGTATATATCTCAGACCTGTTTACTCTTACGATTTTGGCGTACAATGTACGATTTTGAGGTGTATACATTATATATGCAGCACGTCTTTGCTCTATAAAGAGAATGTATTGAACGATTATATGATGATATTGTACGATTTTAAGGGTTTGAGGGTAAACAGGTCTGATATCTGCTATTTTTGACTTTCTTGCAGTAACATTTTATTTTGTTGGAAATTCTTTAGAAAGCAAAATCTGAAGTCAGTGGATTAAATCACAGCACTAATATGAATTAATGGAAGAACTTTGTCAAATCAACACGGAAGAAGCAAAGTAACAGAATCTTTTAATTTAAACCTATGAAAAAAATTACACTGCAAAAGTAACTTTATTCTAAATCTGTGCTTAAGTGTTGATCTGAGATAATGATTTGGATTTTTTTTAAATTAATTATTTTCTATGACTTTAGCATCATTTAATTTTATATATAAAATAAAAAATCACCATTTGCCAAATGTGCCTTCAAAAGAATCACAGCTTGAAAGTTTTTGACTTTTCTACTTGAGAACCTGAAGATTTCTCCAGAAATTGTTTTATTTATTAACTACATTGATTTTTATACGACTTAAATTTATGTCAAAGATCTGATTTTAAAAAATTAATGTCTTAGATTTTGTTTTGATGAAGGTTCTGTCTTTATAAGCTTCTATCAGTAAGGAAGGTGCTTAAAGTAATGTTAACCTATTGGTTGGTATCTGATGACAGGCTCAAGATACAACTTCTGTTAACTCCTGTTATGCTGTTAATTTGTACTTTACAATGAAATTATAAACCTGTTTCCAAATGGAAGATAACATATCAAAATAATTGTCCTTGTGACAAACAAGTCATGACAAAAATTAATGAATAAGTTGTATTCAATATTTTAGTGTTACAACTGTGCCCAATAATTAATTGATCAGATATCTAAGTTTTATAAATAGTAATAGTATATTAATTATTGAAATCTGAACTGTCAAAGCGCATACCTTGAAATAAGACTGCCAATTACTCTTTGTCCACATATATTATAAATATCCTTCCTCTTGAATTTTTTTTCAAAATATCATCACACTTGTGAACCTCTGTTGTGAAGATGATGTAAAGAATATTTTTGTACACCCAATTTGATCACTGGGCATTTTATATCAATTGTTAAACAACTTTTGTGTTAACACATAATGTATTTAGCTCTCTATGTAATCAAAATTTGCATTATGTTTCTCCACTCTTTATGATTTATTACAAACTTTTCTTATATAAAACAGTTGTGACTCTTATCATCATCGTTTTCCTAACTAGGATTATCAGTACATATCAGGTGAATTTTCCAATGTGGGGGGAAAAAATATTAGTGAATTTCAATATTTTCTTATTGGATGTAGATCTTTTTTTCTAATAATGTCACCTAAGATAATATATTCTTTCAATGCTTGTTCTATTATTGTTGGTTGCCAGTATTATGTAATATGTGACCCCCAGATTTCAACCCAGGGAAGTGATTTTCTCTGGGTTATAAAATGTGACTTGTAGTTATGTTTTACTATGATGTTAATTATATTGTCACCAGTTAAAATCTTTCTATCTTTGTGACAGCAACAGTAAAAGAAGATTTTTAAAAAAAAATAATGTTGATCTGATAACATTCTAAAACTAAAAAAAAATTTAATGGAAAAATTTACTAATTTCTTTTACATTGTACGCAACATGTAGAATGAAATATCGCAACATGTAGAATGAAATATCGTTTCAGAATATCTTTAAACTTCAGATGTTATGCAATTTATTTATGGTATTGCAAACATCTTCCATAGGTTAATTGTTTGTCCATTTATGTTTTTATTTGTATTTTGGATTTTCAAACATTTTTCCCTTTCACAATACTGGAAAATTAGTTAAACTAAAGTTTGGAGAAAAAAAATGTTTGTGTGTGTCCTGTTGAAAACAAGCAGGAGTCCCCTTGTATATTACTATTATTACTCATGGTATGCAATATAGTGGAATGCCTAAGTTTCTCTTTTAAGACATTATACTTATACCTTCATATGATTTGTAAATCATTTAACACTATTGTCTGATATTTGCATCATATTTCCACAGCTATTGATTACACTAGGAGGAATATTATAACTTAAAGGACTAAATTCTTGAAAGCACCTCTGATCTGATCAGTGGTTGGAGATTGCTAACAAAAGTTCGTGTGGGCTAATACTAATATTGATGGTATTTTCCTCCTGATGACTTCCAGTTGGCCCAAGGACTTAGGCTTATTTTTAAAAAAAATTACTTGATAATAATAATTCAACTAATTTTTGTGTCAGCCATTCCTTGTTATTTACTTCTCAGTTAATATACAGTCTGTAAATTTCATTTCAAATCTTAGACAAATGAACTGTAAACTTGCAAATTTTTTTGACAAAATGAATTAAACACTGCAATGAAGATGTTGATACACAGAGATATCAAATGTCACCTTAAAGTCTTGGTAAAAAATATATAATTGATATTTATTATGTGTAAATTTCAAATGCTACTAAAAGCAGGAAGAGGCATGACTGTGAGCATTGCTCTCTTAAAAATCTTTGCATGTTGTCTCCAAGAGGCTGAGGATGCCTCCCCTGATTAGGCAGCACATGATTATTGCCTCCCCCCTGGTTAGCACCACTTGTATAGCAGCCTTTTCTTGAATTTGAATGAAAATTAGTTTTATAAATTATAACTTTGTAAGATCTGAAATTGTCATAGTTTAAAGAATTTTCTCAATTTATTTTTTTTAAAATAACTTTTAACATTCCACACATAGGATCAATGAATAAAAACCTTGAATTAAAAAAAAATGTTTATTAGTTTTTGAAACAAAGTTATTGACAAAATAAATTGATCTCTGGATCTCATGTATGTTAAGCACTAGGACGGGGTGAGGGGGGCACATTATCCCCTCCTCTCATTGCAACCAACCCCTCTTCCATTGGATTAACTTTTATAATTTATGATTTGCATTATTAAGAAGAGTTAGCCAAATTGAAAGTGTTCATTGTTGTGTACACTGAAACAAACACACAAGTTATCTAAATCTAATATTCAGTTTTCAATTACTGCACTCCAAACACAAAAATGTTTAACATATTTCTTTTATTGTGTTAAAAATGAAGACATAAGCTGTACTTATTTGTTTACCAAGAATGATTTCAATTATTTTTGTTGATGAATGTAGCAAGCAACTCATTTGATTCATTTTAAATTGCAACTCAAGTAACCTGAGAGTGTCAAGACCAGGATTACTCAACATTACCACAAACAAAGCAGCTGATGTGAACATAAGGAAGCAGAGGCTAGTGGCAGGAGTTGTTTGCAACTATATGGATGTTGGTGAATAAAAAATTTCTTTGCCTGGTTGCTGGCCCAGTACTTTAGGAAGAATTCTAAAGAATTCAACATAAATCACTAATGGAATAGATGGATTAATCATTTGGTTAGAACTACAAAATTGAACCTGAAAATATCTTTACTTTAGCTCTCTTATGTAACACAGCAGTAAGTTGGACATGAAATTTAAAATTAATTATCCACCTTAATGCATAAGAAATTATACCACTGTCAAGGTATTAAAATAAGTTTTTGAATGTTGTGTTTGGGTTGTTGAGAACATGATTGATGAGTTGTTTGTCAGTCAGATCTCTAAATGGTGCTTAGACAAGAGTGATGAATAATAAGTTTTCTGTATAACCGGTACTATAAAGATAAGAGGGATATGAGACTATTTTATAACCAGTAGAGAGGGTAGAGCGAGAGATAAAAGAAAAAAATATGAATCTAGTGAGATTACACCATTGTAGGGATACATTTTGTTGGCTAAAGTTGTTAGCAGAAGTTGTTGCATGTCTGTGGACTTGAGTGTTGTGTTTATAGGACATTTCAGGAATAATCAAGTATTTGAGAGCAAGGAATAATTAAGTAATTTAAAAGCAGTTGATTGATTGTGCGTAAACAAAAGCTAATATATTATTTGGACATTTAAGAAAGAGCTGTGTTTGTGCTAGAAAAAGAATTTCTGTTACCATTGTGAGCATCAGAAGCCTGGTGAGAATCACTGTACCCAAGTCAATGTCAGAACATATCTTACGTCTAAGGAATAACCTCCAGCATTTGAGACCGTTGGTATTATCCCCAGTTTTATTCAGGCGGGTGATTCATTCGATTACTTTATCTACCACAATAGATTCCACCCTGGATTTCAATTTAATTTCAAAGATAAAACTTGCACCAGTTTAGGTAAAAATTATTCTTTCAAATAGTAAAATTTTTGTTTTATTTCATAAAGGTGATATGACATATTTTAGTTAAGTTTTCTTTGAATCACTAAGATTTTTATAAAATCATAGACTAGTTGAAGTTTGAGGTTCAAGAGGCAATGATGGTGGATAGTATTCAGCACTTGACATGTATTCTTTGGTGTTAACATCATTGCACGTCTTTTCCTTTTCTGTAAGATGGAAGAAAGTTATAAATATTAATTTTAAATAAAAATTTAGTGATGCTTATGAGAAAAAAAAATGATAAATAAGATGAAAGACCCATCAATTCATTTGGAAAGAGAGGAGAATGTAGACAACTGAAAAATAATTCCCTTTTTAAATCCTTTGTATTAACTTTGCTTTTGTTTCTGGGTGGCTTGCTGACCGACTGGCTGGCAAAATCTTCCTGTCTAGCTATTGAGCTGAAACTTGGCGCATAGACTTGTTGCCGCTGACAACACATTCTATCAAATTTTCAGCGCCCCCCCCCCCATCTGTTTTTCAAGGTAAAGAAAATGAAATTCCTGATGACTGCACTAAATGAGATTCTTTTAAAAAAAAATTGAAAGTGAGTGGTAATATTTTCTTTTGTTTGAAATAGTTGGATCATTAGAATATTAATATAGTTCATGGGCTTGAAAAAAAATCTGCAGTTTTGAAAAGTGGGGGGAAGGGGGCCATTATTGGGATTCTTATAAAATGCATTATTTGAATGCATGTTTTTTCAAATGTTCAGCCCCACCCTCCATGGCTCAATATTATATTTTATAAAGGATTTATACGAAAAACTTTGTTTTTAGAGGTTTCTTTAGTTTCTCCTACAATTAGGAAATAATAAATTGCATTGTAGAAAGCTAATAATATCCTTCAAATGGTTTTAAAAAAGCTGTTAAAGGAAATCCAGACATTGTCTTAAGTAGTTCTTCCAATTCTAGTTCTAGGCTGGACTATCTGAGTTGTAATACAGCCTATGAAAATACCATTCAATTTAAGCAGCATTATGATCATTTATTATTATTGAGATACATGATATATGATGAAGTATATTTTAAATCAATTCTTTGAGTCAATGGAAAAAATTCAATTATAAATATATATATTTCATTATTTATAAAGCCATTTAAGTGGTAATTATGTCAAACGCTACATCTCCATAATTAAATTCATTTTTTGTTGCTAGGTAAATATCTGTCTCACAGATTCAACTGTAATACAAGGAGGCATCCACTAAATCTGACTGCAACTAAAAAAAATTCTGCATCCTTATAAAACTTAACTGCCCCAAAATATTCTCCTCCGTCTCACATTTTAAGGCCAGATATTAACTCATTAACTACATGCCCTGCATGCATGGCTCATCATGGTCTCATAACCAACAAACCCAACACAAATCCTCGTTTTATAGCCATTTTAATTGTTTCTATAGTATAGTAGTTACTATCCTAATGTCTCATTTTTATTGTAGTTAGTTTACATGTTTTTAATAATTGTAAAGCGCTTAGAGCTTTAAGGTAAGCGCTATATAAAAATGCCTAAATAAATACATAAATCAAGTTAAATAAAAGCTTTACAACATAATAACTTTCAGGCTTCTCCCTAATGCCTTGAAACAAATGATTTAAAAAACAAAAAATAACTTCTCTTTTTTTGTGTGCAAAAATCCTTAGATTGGTGTGTGTCAAATAATTTACTATAATAAAATGATGAAGAACTGAACATCGGATATCAGAATATCGTACCGGCTATCTTGATAACTTGATAAGAAAGTATATGACAAGGTCAAGATAGAGTCTTTTGGGACAAATTTTATGTCAAAACAGGTAATTAACATACAGTAAATTGACACACCTTGGAATGCTTGCATTTGAACAAGCATTATGTCACACAAAGCTTTCAAGAAGTCATAGCTTGAATAATGATTAAATTTTAAGGGACAAAAGAAGGTATTTACCAATGTTAGGAATGCCACTCTCAGGAGCCAAACAATCAAGATCTCCTTGAGCTTGTTTTGCTGAAGTAGATAAGCGAAGAGGAGGGAGTTGTTGAGTTAACAAATTTACCAATAAGTAGCCATCTGATTCATTCATTTTTTTTGGGCAGATGGACTTTACAGTTACGACAGAAGTAGGATACCCGAAATGTTCAATTCTAAAATTGGAGGGAGAATGTACTCAGTGTGAAAAGTTTGAAACTTCCAGGTCATTTCAAAGAGAAATACCTAAATTAGACCACAAGAAAATGAATTAGCACCACCCATTATGCCAGGTGTGCCACTTGAGATTCACACCAATGACTGCGATTGATAAGAATTCTTATATTAAACACAGTTATAATGAGAAGAAGAAGGAAGCATCTCTATAAAAAGTGCATTGTTTTAATGGGCTTTTTTAAAATGGAAAAAAATTATCTTTACTAAGTTGAACATTTTTGTAACCCAAAAATCAACAGTCTCTTTGTTCTCAGATCACAGTATTTTCTCTCCATTTCAAACAAATATACATGTTCTATCATGCACTGTCATTTGTATTTTGTTATTTCTTGCCAACTACATATGTATACAAGAGCTAAGTCTGTCTGTATTCTGCTGTTGATGGCAGGCTTCTTGGCAGAAACATCCACTATTTTTGTGTCCTTCTTAAGGTTTTCCTCTACCCTGTGTATATTTTATATTGCTTCAACCTTAATGAAATCCTCTCTGTATTTCATTTGTATTTTGACAGTAATACAATAAAATATGTTGATAATAAAATTTATAAATCACATTTATTAAAATCAAAAATTTATTTTATTGTTAAATTTTCATGGGCTCTTAGTTAAAATTAAAAATAAATATTTATTTAAAAATTAATTTTATGTTTCCTGAAAAACAATCCATCCATGAGTAAACTTAGTGAATGATTTGAATTATCTCAACCATTTAAGCTCACTTCCAGACCTTGTCTGATTACATCCCACACTCAACCTCTACCTAACTCTTATTTTTTCCAAAACCCCACTTCTCTCTCAATTTCAACATTTAACCTCTCACTGCAATGGCCTTTCTTTATCCCTTCACTCTCCCACCCTCTTCTGTACTTGTGAGACAAAACTTCTCATTTAGTTGTTCTAACTCAAATTACCCTTCCCGCCCCCTTCTCTACCAACTCTTCACTGACCCAACTTGCCATCTTCACTTACCATCACTGGCCTAATCTACCTTTCCTCTAACCATCTCCATCCTCTGCCTAAATTCCTTACCACCCCCTCTTTATCAAGGTTTTTAAAAAAATTATTTCTCTTCATTTGTTAATCTAAAACCCAACACTCTACTTACGTGAGTTTGATTTTTCATTGTTGTTTTTATTTTTTTTAAAGACTTTCAGCAAAAGGAAAAGCACCAGCAAAAGGATTATCACACACACAATGGAGATGATGGCAATGACAATCTTCAAATCTTTTTTAGTTTCATTTAGCTGCAAGCAGAAAGATCAATGCATTTATTTTTCTATCATTTCAAATATATTTTACTCACTCCCTAAACATTTTTTTGAACAGGCAATTCAATACAGAAGCTAAACGTCTTTGTAAGCAATAAAAGATAGCAACTTTTATAAGGCTATCAATGAATAACAATATATTTGTGATTAATTTTTTTGTGAAATTCTCTTAAAATCTAAATTTGTTAGAATTTAAATTTATTCTCCCAAAAACCTAATTTAAATCTTATAACTACAACATTTAAAATCCAATGCTTTTGCAATATTATAATTATTCATTTGAAATACTTATTTTAGTGCAATTTTACACATTTTTAAAAATAGTATTTTGTTTTTGCTCTCATCTAGATAAAAAAAAAAGGTGTAAAATGAATAGAATTTGTTTTAATAACTGTCCTTTATTTTGAAGTTTAAATAAAAAAATATATAAATATTGGGAAAATACCGGTATCCTTTAAAAAACAACAACCCAGCATTTGAACATGAATTTATAAACTATGTCTCCTCATTTAATTTGAAGAGAATACATTATTTCAGGATGTCAACAGAAAAATACTTTGAAAATAATAAATTAAGACTCAAAAACCATTTAAAAGAGATATAAAATTGAATTTATAATTGTAACAAGTTCACACTTACACTCTGCAAGGTATGACACCGACCTCCATAATATGTCTTTCCATCCACCTTAATGTAATTTTCCATCTGGGCATTTGCTCCATTGAAACTAAAGGTTCTTTTGGCTATTATATCATCACACATTTTGCTCAAGGTGTTTTCATAACCTTTTTTTGTAGCCTCCAGAGTTAAGGCAACAAAGAAACTTCCTTGAAATAGATAATTGCAAGTAGTAGGCTGATATTTTAATTGTTTTAAGAGACAAATATGCAATTGACATTTGCAAGCACATCATCTTTATCATCATCCTTATTTATTAAGAATTTAACTGAATAATTATTGTAAATATTTTTGACATGAAAAGAATGCGAGTACAACAGAAAAGAAACACTGACCTTCTCTATGAATATCTTTAGTGATGCGGATTTCAGGTATTTCACTGTAGTAATTTCTGACTTCTATTCTCCATGAGTCTGCTAGCTCTTCTTTATATGCAATGTCAAACTTAAGTTCAATTGTATGAGTCTCTTCCACTGTTAAGGTGGATTGTTCAAGAGTCATCAATTCCACATAAATTACTTTATTAATGCTATATTTTTGTGGATCAGATGTTATTGCTGCCAAAAGTGGAACAATGCCTGGTTTATCTAACTCCAGCTTATGGGTTGCTGTACCTAAGTTTGAGGAAATAAATGTTGCTTCTATCACGAATAAAAAGTGAAAATGAAATCTGAAAATTAAAAATGGGCTATAAAACAAGAGTTACATTAATTTTATTTTTAAATCCTACCATAAAACAGTAGAGAAAAGCTTAATGAATAAAGACACATTTTAAATTTCTAAATGCTCAAACCTGTATTTTGATTGAATTTTGCAGCCAGTGTTCCTTTTAATGCACCTTTATAAACTTCATTTGAAGTTATAGAAAATGTTGATGTCCACTTCAGAAACTGAAATACATATAATCACAATGGAATAATCTTATTTAATGCAGAGTTGATTTTTAAATCTTGTTAATTCAGCCCACTGAATGTTGCATAATTTGAGCTCATAAAACAACTTCCTTGTCACACAAAAGATGTGAAAAAATTCATAATGCAATAATAATGTACGTTTAGCTTACTAAAAAGTACTTTTATGCGAAACATTATTTTCATACGAAGACATATACAAAGTCTTTAAGTGTCACTATGGAACACAGAATCAAATATTTTATTTCTGGTTTTAAATAAATTTACTGTGCTCATTTAAAAAAAAATTATAACTATTGCATGAAGTTAATTTGTGAACATTTGGAAATCTTACCTCTGGGTTTAGGTCACTTATGTGTTGTTTAGAAATTTTATCAACCAAGGAAACTTCTATTTCAATTGGTGCCTTTGTAATAAGTTTCTTAGTTTTAATTTCAATGTGGCCTTCAATGTTTAACCCTAAAATCTATTGAAATTTAAAAGTACATTCTAAATTGAGCATATTTATGTATTTATACAAAAATATAAAATTCAAGCTTCCTCATCAAACTGTTCAAAAAAATTATTTCATTGAAGAAAAATTACACTGTAGCCTAAATGGTAACAATACTTAAAGTTTAATTTTGTTAAAGATAATTTCGTGAATTAAAATAACAGTCATTTTTCTGTAAGAAAATTATTTAAGAAAAAAAAAAATAAAAAAATTTAAAAAAAAATAAATTCCAAAATGAAAATTATTTTCCAAGCTAAACTGTTTATATTTTGTCTTCTGAGTGTTGAGAAACACATTTTGAAAACAATATTGAAGAATGTTTATCCATTATATTAGGTTGAATTTAACAATTTAAATTTAATTCTCTCACTGTAAGTTTTTTTACCCTTTTTATCATGGATATATTATTAATAAAATTTATTCAAATTAAAACATTTGAACTGCATATATTTCAGATGAGTAAATCTAGGATTCACCAATTTTCCTAGGATTAAAATGTGCTTTAAGACTAAGCTGCCTACCCAAATTTCAGCCTTTTAAGATAAGCCGATTCTACAGAAATTAGAACTCAAAGATATTGAGACAATGAAACAAGTCTTGTGTTTAGCATAAGAAAAGTTTTTTTAAGTACCTGAATTTCTTGGGATTTGACAAATAGTTTTGAAGCTTCTTGAAGGACAGTGATTTTAAAATTTAAAACATATTTTCCATGGAACACAATTGCTAGGCTGGAAAAATTGGCCCATCCATCTTCAAAAGGAACAGAAGCATTGATTAACTTGGACCATTTATCATTCCCAGAATCAAAAGTTGCTGAGATGATCCATTTTTCCTTTAAAAAGCCAAGATGTTCTACAATATCACCCTGGAGATGGATGAATTTTAAAAAATAAAATGTTTAGGATGCATACAATTCACAATAATTATATCTTTAAATTTAAATAAATGCAGCGATATAAAAACAATACATTTTGTAACTTATGTTTTGTTTACAATTTACAGTTGATATCTTTTGTAAAATTGTACATATTTCCACACAAGAAGATTCATAAGGTGACCTGGATATCACCAGACCAAGAGACCCAAAATCAGATTGATCACATATGTATCAATAACAAGTTCAGACCCTAACTGCAAAATGTTAGAGCCTATAGTGGAGCAGACGTTTCATCTTACCATAACTTGGTGATAGCGAAAGTAATGCTTAAGCTAAAAAGATAGAACACCATCCAAAAGAAAAGATAGCACTATAACACAGATTTCCTTAAAGATCCAGAAAAGAAATAAGAATTTAGACTGATGGAACACCTGCAGAAGTGCAAAAGACAGACCTGGAACTGTCATCAAGAATACTTCACTAGCTAATTGTGACTATCTGGGACAAAGAATAGATACCCATGGAGTGGAGGGAAGGATACTTGGTCAAACTTCCAAAGAAAGGATATCTCCAAAAGTGTGGAAACTATAAAGGAATCATGGTGCTTTCTGTACCGGGAAAAATACGAAATATAATTATTCTGCAGAGGATTAAAAAGCGAGGGACTCCAAACTAAAAGATGAACAGGCTGGTTTTTAGAAAAAACAGATCATGTACTGACCAAATTGCAGCCCTGCGCATAATCATGGAACAGTGCTTGGAGTGGAATGCATCATTGTACTTAAATTTTGTCGACTTCAAAAAAAGCATTTGACAGCTTAGACAGAAAAACACTCTGGAGACTACTAAGACATTATGGTATTTCCCAAAAGCTAACTAACTTATTTAAGAACACATACAAGGTTATGAGTTGTAGGGTTATACATTAAGGTGAACTAACAAACCCATTTATGATAGAAATTGGAGTTCGACAGGGATGCCTGCTCTCACCACTCCTCTTTCTGTTATCCATTGACTGGATCATGAGAGAAACAACACAGGATGGGAAAAATGGAATCCAGTTGACACCTTTCAGAGGATTTGGATTTTGCAGACAACATTGCACTTTTATCACATAGCCATAAACAAATGCAGGAGAAAACAACACAGCTTGAATCTGTATCCCAGCAAGTTGGACTTAGCATACATAAAAGGAAAACCAAGACCTTAAGAATAAATACAGTGGATGATGGAGTTATTGGGATTCACCTGAGAGGTGCCTCTTTTGAAGAAAGTGAGACTTTTAAATACTTGGGAAGCATCATAAAATAAAAATGGTGGCACATACAAAGACTTTAAGTCTAGGGTACAAAAGGCCAGAGGACCATTCAATGCCCTGCAAAACACCTGGAACTCAAGTAAAAACTGACAAAATCATAGTTAAAAATATTCAACTCAAATGTCAAAGGCACTTCTTCTATATGGCTGTGAAACTTGGAGAACAAAAACAAACGTTAAAAAACTTCAGGTTTTTATAAACAGATGCTTGCGAAGGATCTTTAAAATCAGATGGTTTGACAAAATTTGTAACACCGTCCTTTCGGAGAGAGCAACAAGTGTTCCGGTGGAACCAGAGATAAAGATGAGAAAATGGAGATGGATAGGGCACACATTAAGTAAACCAAACACTAACATCACAAGACAGGCCCTGAACTGGAATCCTCAAGGTACCAGGAAAATAGGAAGACCAAGAGCCACACGGAAGAGGGGAGTAGAGACAGAGGTGAAAAGAAGGAAAGCTGGGCTGAACTTGCAAAGATAGCCCAGGACAGGGACGGATGGAAAAGTATTGTGGATGGCCTATGCTCCATTGGGAGTGATACACTGTTATGTGGACCTGCTAATGAATTGGACACCAAAGTAGTCTTATTGGTGGCAATAATATAATACAACTAACTGCGGCAATGTGCCACTATTTGCAACTGGATTAAGGTAAAATTTTATATGCGGCAGTATGCCACAGAGAATCCTCTCTCATTGTCAAAGTGTGACTGCTGTGGGTAACCCCAAGCATGTACACATCCATGGTCATTTAAAGAAACACACAGATTGAGATGATTCAACTTTCTTTCTTCGTTCTAATACTCCCGAAGAAACTACTCAATCCAACTCTGCAGCATTATTAAAAGTGGCTATGTAACTTTAGCATCATCATTGTTTAATTGAATGCTGATTGGCAGTAATATTTATTGTTTTTAACTAATGTTTCTTACATTTATAGATCAGAGGGTTACATAAAAATTAAGACTAATAAATGACAATGCTTAGTGACATGTCCTTAGAAAGTGAGGAGAACCATTATGCCTAATATGTCTACAATTGGCACTGGTAATGAAGTGCTAAAAACTAATGTCCATTCCTTGATAAAGATGCTATTATAAGCAAGAAAATTGGAAATAACACAGGACTTAAAATAGCAACAAAAACACAGGGAATCTAATGGTTATTTACATTGTCATCAGTCACTTTGAATATGGGTTGAACACTAAGTGGTTTTCCTTCCATGACATCACCTTTTGGAGGTGTGACCATCACCAGTTTGGCTACCTTTTTTAATTTGATCTCTGTCCCATTTGGGTTGCCAGGTTCTATTATACTTGTGGATAGCACAGTGACATTGAGTACCTCACTCATGCCATGCAATTGAACCTGAAATTCGAAAGAACTACTCTAAACCTAGTGTTGAAATAGATATACTAAGCCATTTTAAAAAAGCAATTACCTACACAAGGGATCAGTAACTGTCTCTCTTTGATGGAATAGATTTGGCTCTTTTTTTTATTTATCTATAATTAAATGCAGCTCTCAAAATATTTTCTTAGCAGATATAATTAAAAAAATTGCTCCTAACTCAAAAAGAAAAAAAAACGTGGTTTATTTTTTAAAAATTAAAAGAATCCTTAATTATTATATTTGTTTGGAGTGAAAATTAAAATGTTTTACAAAATAAAATGCAACATGAATGTTTACCTACAAAAAAAAAATAGTAATAAAAGAAAAATGATTATCTACTCTAAAGAATAAAACTTTTTCCTAAATGAGTCGGCCAAATGAATTTTTCTATATAATATGACTTTTCAACTAATTTATGAATTTACATTCAACACAAACAGAATTCAAATTACTTAAATATCACATAATTACATGCCTGTTTGGTAATTTTAGAGCCAACTACTTCATAGTTGACAGAAGGCTTTTCCCCTGGAGCATCTGCTATTTCCACATAAAAAGTGGTTTCACCTTTAGCTCTCTTTAATCTTTCACTTGTTGATGTATCCATAACAATATTAACAATTCTGACCTATAAAATTGTGCTATCATTAGCTGATTGTAGTTATATTATAAGCAACTTGATAATGTAAAGTGATAAAACATATGTGATGATTTAAGCCTATGGGGTGGTAAAAAATAGTTCAAAATAATGTGACATCCCTTATGGATGGTACTAAACTACCAAAAAAATAAACACCATTAAACTCATATTAAGCTTATCTTGGTTTAACATTTTATCAAAAGTGTTATGTAATCTTGTCAGCACTTGGTTAATCAAAAAGCATAAGAAATTAATATTTTTAAATTCATTTCAAACGCTACATGTTAATTACTCATGTACTATGAACAAAGTTAAGATTTTGAAAAGATTCGTTATTAATTATTTGCCCCAATTTGCACTCCATCTACTTAATCCAAATGGGAAATCATTATGATTTATAGTCCTGGCAAAATTGGAAAACAAATCTCAGGCAAGATTGCACCCTGAATCAATAATTAGCAATATTTTTTACACTTGCGTGAATTAGTTCAGTCAAAGAGACTGTCAAAAAGGGCCTAATACTTTCTAAGAAAATACTAATTGTAATGTGTTTCCAGCATGGACTAGACTTAACCTCTTAAATATAGCTGTGAATACAAATTTTATTTCATCATCATGTGTAAAAAACAGTGCTTTAAGTGTCAAATTGTTTGCGTTAACTAATTTTGTTGTTGTGGTTTAAGATATATTCTGGCAGCTTTGTAGACTTACATTACTAGTAAGATTGCTGCCATTTTTTGGGTGAAAAATCCTGCTGTGGGCCTATCTGACCCAGCACTTAGAATAACTAGTTTGCATGTGTTGGTCTTCATTAATAAAGTTATATAAGTCCATTGTTTGATTCTGAAGTTTGACAGTGGTATAGCTCGTTAGTTCCACCCCAGGCAGACCAAGATTTATACTGACCCTCTCTGCAGGTGACAGAAAATTCTGCACCTCAACAAAAAGAAAAAAAATTCTGCCTGGGAAAAACCACCCCTTCCTCTGCCACTGACTTTTCATGCTTTTCAGATATATTCTTTTACTTTTATTCCAGCCTGCTTGATTTATAAAAAAAATATTTTTAAGGATATTAATTTTTTATTTTTTAAACTGGATTTGGGAATAGGTGTACAGGTTTTTGAATTCAGCATTAAGCAGGATATTTAAAATAAATTTTTTAAAATAGCAATTAAAATTTATTGTCAAGTCCTACCTTTTTAGGATCCATATTTAAGAATGCAGCAAGATTTTCAACTATCTTCTCACCAAAAAACTCCTCATTGGTCATTGCTGGCAAAGTGAAGGACACAATCAAGACTTCGGCTTGAGTTACTTTAACTGTAGAATTCCCACAGACAACCCATAAGATTGTGCTATCTGCTCGGCTAGAAGAAATTTTATAAACTATTAGATCCTAGGTTAAAAACATTTTAATGTCAATGTATGCATGTAATAAGCTGTTTCCAGAAAATAAAATTCTGATACAATTTAAAATAATTTTTTAAGTAGCAGTGTTGCAAAAATAGCACCAGAATTATTTACCATTATTTATGGTTCAGAATGAGTGAGAAATTTTAAAATATTTAATAAGATGCTTGATACTTTAAGAATCAATTTAATTTTTCCATTAAACATTCTTTCTTTTGCAATAAGGGGAAATAAGCTATGTTTTGTTTCTGGATAGCTAGTAATGTTAAAAGATTTTTCAGAAGGAAAACATTATTTTTTAAATTCCTTTTTTTTAAAGTAGCAGATTGTTACTAAGACAATAAACTCAGCTAGCTACAACTAATTTTTTTTTTAATACTTTAATCATTCTTTTTTTTTACATGAATGAGCCTTTTTTAAAATTAAGGAAATTTTTGATAAATTAAAATGTATCATAAAATTCCAGCTCTCTAGAATACGCTTTATTTACTCTAGAGAGCTTAAGTAACTTTAAGGTTAAAAATAACAATATCAAATGTAATTTTAACAAAGGATTGTGAATCTTAGTAAAATATGAACAGAGACAAAATGAACTTTATGCCTGATGAAATTTTCTCCATTAACTTTATCTTTGGGTTCAGGAAAGAATTTCTTTTCATTTTCCAACAGCTTTAGTCTGAATCGACCATTATTATCCAGGTATCCGTTTTTAGGTAACACTACTTTACCATCTACACTGACCTAAAATATAGATTATAAAAATAGTATACAACGCTACAGGCTAAGTGGAAAGGAGGGGCGATAACAAATAACAACTACTTAAGACTTTGTGCTGGTAAAAATTTGCGATATCACATATGAAAGAAATCTATCATATTTAAAATCACTGATGCGGTGGAGTTAATTATTAGCCATAACTGAGAATAAGTCATTTTGTATAACGGGGGTAACCAAAATGAACCTTACATGCAATTTATGAGTTCACATGAGATTCTAACAATAAGTGTACTAATATGTCTCAATAAATGACCTAAAAATAAGTTTAAAAAATAAGGTTTACAATATTCTGTGCTATGCAAACATATCCAGCATTATACACTATTAATAGCTTCATTATTGCCGCCACATTAAGCCTATATTAAAATCTGATATTTGCAAGTAGGCCTATAATTTCAAAATGGCTTACAATGTCCACATGGCACAAGCATTTCAATGAAATACTCCAATTAGTCCAATGTAAGAAAAACTATAGTTTTAGACATTAGACAAATAATAAACAATAAATTAGAAGCTACAATTAGCAATCAACATACCTCATGTCTATTTTGATTCAATATCCACATTTTTAGACGGACACAGTCTTTAGAATCAGAGGCAAGCAGCATGTAACGCATGTCATTAGGAACTACACTACTCAGATAAATTTCAAAATACTGATCTGCAAGTAAAATAAAAATTTCCTTTCCCCTATATCAATCAACTTGGAAATACAATCTATTTTTTTATTATGGTAAAATCATATTTTAGAAGAAAAATCCAGGCCTACTCTTAGTCACTTATATAAGAGAAACAGAGGATCATATAACAATTAAAAGTTATTTTACAGTATGCAGCTGCTGTTTGTTGAAACAAAGAATTATTTCACTGATGTTAGAAGTTTTTGTAAGACACAAATGCATTCTTGAATGATGACTTAAATAGGAAAGTTTTGGAAGTCAATATGAATAATCCACATACCCATTGCTACAATAGCTTGAAAAAGGCTGAGACGTTTTTGACATGTATATCCACTACACCATCCATGATCCTATGAGAAATTAAATTAAAAAAAAAATTTTACAGCTTAAATTGGTTTAAAAATTGTTTTTAAAAGAATTAAACTAAGTAGCATTTTACAATTAAAGAAATGTTTATTTAGTAATGACTTTGACCATAATAAACTACTAAAACTAATTTGTCTCTTACTGATATTAACTTGAGTTAGCAAAGAAAATATTAACCTTCTGTCAGGCGCAACGAGACCGGCGCGGTGTATCAATTTGATATTGCTAATGAGTGACTGATTAAATTAGTTTATTTAATTGCAATTTTGTCAAATAATTTATTTTTTAAGTAATTTAACCAACATATAGCCCATAATATAAAATTTAACCCCAATAATTTTGTTTTTTCAATTTCCTCTATACCTTGAGATTCTTAAAATCAAACATCTTCCTACCACCCGCCATGTTAAACAGCAAAAATAACCTAAATATATAAGTATCAGTATAAATATCTTGTTTTGGCACAATGTGTAAGTATGATTTTTAGTGTTCAATAATAAGATAATGTATCAGTACGTATACAAAAATGAAAAAATTTACTTTCCAGAGAAAGAAATACCTTTGTGTATAGAGGAAAGGAAAACATTAAGCTACTGATAGGTAAAGCTTGCAGTCATCTCTCATTAACGTGTTCCAAAACAAAAATGGTTGGCGTGTATTAATCTGATCAAGCGATAAGGACGGAAGGTTAAGTAAAGTATAATATAAATTTGGCTTTAGCTACAAAGCTCATGGAATGTGTAATTTATTTTGTCATCAGATGCTAGATGTATTAACTGTGGACCTGTTGCTATATGCTGCATTAGGTGTCATTGTTAAAGCTGAATGTTGTTCTACCTGTGGACCATTGATCAGATCAACATAACCCTCTGGGCTGTAGATAGCCACTGGACTGAGTCGTCTAGTCTCTGTATCAGCATCCATGCTTTCAATTGCTAGAAGTCGCCATTGATAAAAGTCAGCACATTCAAAGGCATGCCAATCAACTACCCACGTGCAGTTATCAGTTTTGTAGATACCTTTAAAATATCAAATTATTTTAAAAGTTATAAATAAAACAGTTACAATATTTCAAAAAGCTACTTGGGTAAACAAAAAAATGTGGTAATAATTGAAACCAAGCTTCCAAAACAAATAAGTATTAAGTTGCACAGGTTAAATAATAAATAAACACTTTGATACTATAATCACATCAGTAATAATTTTATGAAATATCAAATACTTTTCTTTCCTTTTAACTAATTTTTTAAACTTAGAAATACATGGATTCCTCTAGAAAGTGAATAAAAAAAATTTTTTTATAAAAAAAAAAGATTTTACATGCAGTAAAAAGTAGAAAATAATCTAAAATTTCCTAAAATGCATAATGCAAGTAAAGATTGTGCAGAAGTGTTGAAAAGAACTCCATGTAGATAAAGGATTCAAATTAAATGAAAAAAAAATGTTTTACTTTTATTAATTTTTAAAAATATTTTCTGAACAGAGTTTCTTTTACTTGTCTTTTTTAAACTTGTAATTTTTTTTTCTTTCAACTTTTTAGTATTAAAATTGTAATCTCTAAATTATTAACAAAAGTAGAATTATTATAAATGCTTATAAGATCCCTGTTAATATGCCTTAACTCTCGACCTAGACATAAAACTAAAAAGTAGATTTTATGGGATGCGTTTGACCAGCCCCTGACCCCTTCGGAACCATTCCTCCCAAAAATCCTATAGCTGTCATCTGAGCTCAGCCTTTCACTAAACAAAGCAGACATGATTAACAACAATCAACTAAGAAATAAGATCACATGTGACCAAAAAATATTATTCTACAAAGTTACAGAGACCATGGATTTGTGAGTAGAAAGAGTCCATTAATTAAGCCTAAACTGATTTTAACCAAGAGACTCAAGATACATTTTTTATAAAATTAATAAGCATTTCACCCAGCAAACTAATATTTAATTCACCAAAACTCTAGCGCCTATCTCAAAAATATGTAGTTAGACTTGTAACCTGAATATTGCACATGCATTTTCTGACTGTTAATTCATTTTATTACTCTGCTTGTCATAGTTTTATCTAAAAATAAAAAATATCATGAAAATAAGTATTGTAGACTCAAGTATATTACACCTTTTCATAATAGTGAAAAATGCTCAAGAATGAATTGAATATGAATATAGATTTTTTTTTATTGTTCTAAAATATTACAATCAAATTTTACAAGTCTCTGAATGGTTGGATTCAAATCTTAAATAAAAAAATCTCTTGAAAAAAGAAAATAATTTATGAGGTATAAAAAAATAAAATAAAAATCAAAGCAAAATTCACAGCAATAGCATCTTTCCCCCCCTCCTCCCCCCCCCTCCATTCTCCCCCACTCCTTTCCTCTTCCAAGACTTTGCAGAGTTTGTATTAGTCAAGAAATGATTAGAGTGTCACTGCAGATAGGTTTACTGCATGGTTACAACTCGTTTTGACCATTTAATACATTAAAAAAAATTTAAATACTCATTTTAAAATGGTTAAACATGGCAATTTCAGATAGCATCAAAAGTATAACATAATCACAAAGTATTCCTTGTAAACTCTCAATTCTTACCTTTATGTGGCGCAATATTTTCAACCTCAAGTTTTGACCCATTTGATGCAACTAGCATGGCTGAAGGTATTCTGTAATCTCCAACCCCATGTCTCTTATCTCCATTCCACTCATAGGCTGAGTTTGGTAAGACTGTACCTTTGTGGCCCAAGAAAGTTCCATCTAGATCTCTAATAAGACATTTCTTCAAACCATCACAATCCATATCCACACAGTCAGCAGGGACGACTTTCCTGGGTATAATAATGAAATATTAAGTCATGAATATGTATAAAGTTATTTGGATCTGATACAAAAATATTCCCACTTTACATAAGAAAGCATTAATTAAAATAAAACTTACCCAACATTGGGAGGGTCAAAGTGTACTTTAGATTTGTGATTTACATTGATGAGCTGTGTATTTTCTACATGCAAAGGATGACAGGCATCATCATTATTTTTACTAGTAGTCACTGCATAATCAGTGCCATTTGGGCAGGGATTGAAATTGAAAAATGTATTACCTGTCAAAAATGCAAATATATTTAATTAGTCTAACAGGAAATGCTTTAATCTTTTAAGCAAGAGTTAAAAATATTTCTCAAAAACACAAAGGACATCTCTTTCAAAAGATTTTATCTTCTTCCAAATTTTTATTTTTTAATTACAGCGGCATTAAACATCATGAAAGCATGGACTTGTATTTGTTTGATGTAAAAATGAAATAAGCATAATCAAGTTGACAGTAACACTTGAACTTACTCTGTAGTTTTGTTAGACCCTTGATTGATCCATAACCCATGATATTTGTAAGTGCTCGCTGTGGAGCTTCATTACTACCACTTGTGAATGTAGCTATGATAACACCGATTTTACCACAAGGTGATGGGCGTCCTGAATATCTGAGCATTGGGCTATATGTTAAAATGTCATCCTTTTCATCCAAAACATCAAGAGTTTCAGAAAATGTTGATGTCTTCCCAACAAAAACGTTATCATTGACAACAACATATTTATCTGTATATTCATGGTTCACCGCATTAGGGCCCACTAGCATTGGGAAGATACCAATGCCATTTTCTATTAAAATGCTATTCTTGATAACAAGACTTGGCCTATTGTTGTAGTAAAATCCATAATCAAAATTTTTCCAGACTGTGAAACCACTGTAAGTCACACACACAGAATCAGCAAGGGTATCACAAGGCATCACGCTTACACCTATTGAGATAGGATTTTTAAGTTCATTAATCTTATAGAATGAATTGAACATAGTACACCTAAAATATTTGCTTTGTTGCTAGGCTTATAATTTATTCATAAGCATTGTACAACATAGTTTTAAATTT